AGTTGACCAACATTTTGTGGACACGAATGAATTAATATATTTTAAGTATTTAAATAAATAACTTATATTTGAAACTCAAAATTACATAGAGAAATACAGAAACTGAGAGACTTGCTTGAAAAGCAAAAAAAGAAAATCTGATAAACTTCGCAAGAAACTAAAAAGATAAAATAGCACTTCAAAAGAGCATGTGTCAGAATCCATGTATTCTCTGTGGAATTATGTGCATTTCTGTACAGTTTAATAATTCTACATTTAAAATAAAAGAGGTTATTACCTAAAGCAACTTTGCTAATTCAATTCTGTCTCATAAATAAAATGTTGTCCATGGTTAACAATATGTCCAGTTAACTAGGTTACTTGTGTCAACCGTGTGATTTTCATTGTCACCTAGATTACACTTAGATTCTTAAAGTTAAAATAGCCAATATTGATGTTTCTGACATTTTTTAGCATTCTACTTATTTGCATAGGTTGTAGTTTACTATAACATATTTTTTAATTATCAAAAATAACTTTAATGGAGATTTATGATGAAAAACATCCTTGTCCATAAGGACCGTTATAAATGCATTGCATGTTAATCTTTAAAAAAAAGGTTAATTATGAAAATCATTTTAAATAACAATTGTATGTGTGGCAGAAATAGACTCAAGAGCCTTCTAAATTGCATTAAATTCCAAGTGCAAGACTGAATTGAATGGTTTGTATGACACCCTGTTTGTCCGTAACATAGTTGACAAACTCTGAAGTAAAAACATGTTTTTAATTAAAAAAAAATTAAAAACAGTTAATATTTAAGCTCTGCAGATGACAGATTTGTAACACTGAATTAATATACTATATTGAGACACTTAATATTCCACTGAGAAAGGACAGTGCTCTTGTGCTTTTTTTGCTGACATGAAATGTACCCTAAATTAGAGAATGACTCCACTACTGATTATTTCAAAATTATTTTTTTCTGGCATTCTATAATCAGGGACACACCAACCTGTATATGATCTGTCTGTCTGCGCGTGTCTGAAGTTCGCTTCACATTTAAGGAGGTAAAACGTTTTATAATACCCAACATATTTAACATTTGGCGTTTGATCTTTAATGTTATAAGTGCTGTTTTCAAGCGTGTGTGCCTAAACTAGTTTTGTAACAAAAGAGATTGAGTTTAATTTATCCAGTGTATCTGTTAGGGATGTTACAATTTTGTATAAAGTATATACATGCAAATATTTCTTAAATGTATACATGCACGTGTGTATTTATATATACAAAATAATTATACACGTATATTATGTAAACACAAACTTTTATTTTGGATGTGATTAATCGTTTCACAGCCCTAATATTATCTCACGCAATTTACACATGTTTACACGCCACCGGAGACGACGGAAAAACATATAGAGAGCATCAGCTTTAGTTTCTGCTCTGATAGACGCAAGATTTCGCCAAACGCCTTTCTGTGTTTGTGGGGAGAGAACATTGTGCTCGATACGGTTTTTGTGTCTCCAGCCGACGAAGGTTAAACCCCGTCTGGCTTGCACTCTTCGAGTCAGGTCAGTAGACGGCCTTTTGTGGCTGTTTGAACACCTTCCTTTACTAGGTGTCCTCTATCACTTTTTAACGGACACCCTGCAGCCAATCAGAATCGAGTATTCACCCAGACCATGGTATAATGTAATTTAATGTTAAATGTGAAGCTAATGTAATTTAATGTTGAAGGTCCTATATGTAACTTTTTTTTATAAAATGAATCCTTTTTTTATTGCCTGTGTTTGAAGGGGTTGTAATCACACATTGCAATGATCCACTTTTCGGTTTTGCTACCTCTGAAGGCCAATATTCATATTTATATGTGAAAAACAAAAAAAAGTTTTATCTGCTGAAGCTCGTCAGGTAAAACGTGAATCTGATCGACTCCGGACGAAAACGCGGATCAACATCGGCAACATATTAGTTCAACATATTAGTAAACTCTAGTGAGATAGCAAGGTAAACTACATGAAACATGACATGAATACAAAAGAATGTTCCAGGATAACAAAAAGTCAGTGCCTTAGGATGTAACTTATTTTATTTACTAGATCTACTGACTAACGTCACTCATCCCACTACTATCATATGGTTTATTCACATTTCCAGACACGTACAGTACAGTAATGTCACTTCCTACAATCTTACTGTTACACTGAAACTGTTCAGTTTGGTTCACTGACCGTTTTCATTATCATATTATACATTCACCTGTGTTAACATTGCTGATTGTGAAAGATACACGAAAATAGTTAGTGAAATGGCTTATGATATAACATCAAATGCCGGCTAAATGCAGTTTATTGTAACATTATCATGGTATGAGCACAGAGCATTAGTTCAACGTCAAGCTGATAAAAGTAGGCTATTATTGTACCTGCAGTGGGAGTTTACATTAGTTTGCAGCATGTTGTGTGATGATTTTGGTGTTGCGTTGAAAGTCTCCGTGTGGCCTGTAGTGAATGCTCGCTCTTGAGATCTAGCACGCACACGAGTACGAGCGCTCTTGTTGCATTCTGAAACATCACCGCTAGAGGCCGCTAAAACAAACGCATAGAGCACCTTTAAATGTGAAGCTAATGTAATTCAATGTTAAATGTGAAGCTAATGTAATTCAATGTTAAATGTGAAGCTAATGTAATTCAGTGTTAAATGTGAAGCTAATGTGATTTAATTTAATGTTTGTTTTAACCCGTCAATTTTTTAGAGTGTAATGTTATAAATGTATATTAACACATCAATGGGCCTGACTGATGTTTTATGGTGTCAGATCTACTTTATCACCTAGTTATAGATCATTCACCTTCTACCTTATTTTATTTATTCTCTCAGGTTAAGTTGGTTGAATTCTCCAATAGATAATAAGCATTCAAATTCATACAGTCTACACTGCAAAAATTAACTCTCTAAATTCAAGAAATAAATGCTTGATTTAAGAAGATACAGACTAAAAACAAGTCAAATTATCTGCCAGTGCAGTAAGATAATTACACTTGATAAGATTTCTTGAAATAAGAAAAAAATATCAGGCTTCGGAAAAGTGCAAAATGTTTTGAAAGAAGTAATAATATACGTATTCCAAGCAGTGCATTTAGTCAAAATAACTTAAAACTAGCTTGCAAATTCTTTTTTAAGTGTTTTCTTCTTTCTTAATTTGTGAGAAAAGATCTTAAAACCAGGGCCACTAATCAAGGGAGTTCTTCTTAATTTAAGTATTGTCAAAATTAGTTTTCCTGTCTTAAAATGAGACAAAGAATTTAAACTTAAAACAAGATTACTTAAGAAAATAATAACTGAAATCAAGACCATGCCGAATTAGTACAGCCAACAATTATTTATTCAATATTTCAAATTAGTTTGTTTACAAAGTTGAAATGTCACTTGAAAGAGATTCCCTGACACAAAGATGATGGTACAGTAGTGCATAACATTCATGTTTTAGCATAAGGAACTGTCACTGGAACTGAAATAGGAATTCTTGTTGCAAAGATGGTCAAGAAAAAACCCCACCAATAAGTACTCTGTGTTACAGCAGATAAAGAACAAATAAATAAATAAATAATTAAACATGCATCTCCATTTGTTTCTTAAATTCCATTAACACAGAACTATGGCTCACTTTCACCTCAGATGTTACTCAAAATCACTGGCAGTGCTAAAATGTTATTCTTAAAGGGTTAGTTCACCCAAAAATGAAAATTAAGTCATTAATTACTCACCCCCATGCTGTACCAACCCCGTAAGACCTTCGTTCGTCTTCGGAACACAAATGAAGATTTTTTTGATTAAATTTGAGAGCTGTATAACTACCACATTGGCTCCTAAAGGACTGCCTCTTGACGGCCCAGAAAGTCAATAAAGAAAATGTTTAAATATCCCAAGTGACTACCGTGGCTCAACTATAAGTTTATCAAGCGACGCAAATACTTTTTGTGCGAAAAAACAAACAAAAATAACGAGTTTATTCGACTATTTCTTTTCTTCCTTGTAGGCCAGAACGAGACTTCCTTAGATTTCCACGACGCATGCGCGAGAATTGCGATCTGAAGTAGTGTAAGCTGGTGTGAGCAGATCGCAAATCTCGCGCATGCGTCGTGGAAATCTAAGGAAGTCTCGTTCTGGCCTACAAAGAAGAAAAGAAATAGTCGAATAAACTCGTTATTTTTGTTTGTTTTTTCGCACAAAAAGTATTCGCGTCGCTTGATAAACTTATAGTTGAGCCACGGTAGTCACTTGGGATATTTAAACATTTTCTTCATTGACTTTCTGGGCCGTCAAGAGGCAGTCCCTTAGGAGCCAATGTGGTTGTTATACAGCTCTCAAATTTAATCAAAAAAATCTTCATTTGTGTTCCGAAGACGAACGAAGGTCTTACGGGGTTGGTACAGCATGGGGGTGAGTAATTAATGACTTAATTTTCATTTTTGGGTGAACTAACCCTTTAACACTTCTAATTCCCAATAAAATCCTTCCACTCTGCCATGGCTTTTTTGTATGATGCTGTGGCGTCTAGCTCATGGAGTGTGTCCTGCAATATTTCGTTCTGAATGACAGAAAGGAGAGTCGCCACGCATTTGGGATAGGTAAGATGAAGGGTGTAGTAGTAAGCCATCAGATAAAGGAGACCTTCACTGAGGTCTTCCTTTGCAAATGTGGTGATGGGAGTGGTTCCAATAGCGAGAAGACAGTTGGAACCATCAAAGATAATAACAGGGCTGGAGAGAGATCTCTTCTGAAGGTAGATGGTGGGGTCTTCTTCTGGCTGAGAAAAAAAAGTAAAAAAATAAAAAACCTGACAAATTTCTTTAGGGTAGAACATAAAATCATCAAAATGTATAAAAGTCATTGCATACTACCAGAAAAAAAGTGTTGGATGTGACAAAATGTGAACAAACTCTCACCTGAAGGACATGAAGCAATGCCTCACTGGCATGTCCCATCTTCTTAGGTGGTGCAGTTGGAGAAGAAAAGAGTGTGGGGAGTGCCCTGAATAGTGCCATGGCATATTCCACTACAACAGAACAAATAAACTTTTACTTCACAATTGTTTTTCTTAAACAAGACAATTATCAGGTCCATGCTTAGTTAAGAAAATTATAAAACAACAACATTGGTCTGAATGAATGATTCACTCGTAAAGACTTCACTTATTTCATTACTGGATAAATCAGCGTTGTTTGAATCTCTTGAATAAATGATTCAATGACATACATTTTTAAACAGTCAGTATTTGTCGCACAACATGTTGGCTTTTAATTATTTTAACACATAAATACTTTGTGGTTGAAAATGATGTGTGTGAAGCCGTTTCATATGTTGTCATGTTTAGGTATTAAGTGTTCGCTTTGATCGTACTTGTCAAAGGTTTAATAAACAACGAACCACTGTCATTTAGGTATAAGATCACGTGGGTTTTTGAATCGAGAACGCATTCTTTAAACAATCAATCGTGAAGCTCTAATGGAAATTATAATCACAGTAAGTTTTGTTTAATCGGCATTACTTTGGGAATATACAAAATCATACACCCATGTCTGAGCAAGAACACAGCAATACAGTGTACTAGAGACCAGGGATGCAAACACATGTATGGTCAAAAAAGAGAGAGGTAATCGAAGCCCTCGCCCTGCGGAAAATATCCAGATACTTGCATTGCCACCAACCCCTGCCATCCCCGGCCTACCCTTAGGCACATAGTAAATATGTTTCAGCCTTTAAAAGAGAACTCCGGCGAACAATGAACCTTTGGTCTAATAAAACATCGGTACCTAGTCAATCGTTCTCTGGGTTTTGTTTTCATGATAATCGAATGCAAAGAGTTTTACCTCTAAAAACTGTTTAGCGTATAATGCTAGTGGGGGCATTGACTAAGTAAAAAGAAATCGCTAGTTTATACCACTAACAAGGTTCAAAATAGCCCCACACTAACACAGTAACATAATGAGGGTCCATACATGCAAAACGAAGCATTGACAACTTTGTAAGTGTACAGACTGTACAATAAGAAGATGCGTTATAATGACAGTTCACTTCGCGTATACAGACAGGAGCCATTTTAAAAATAGTCTCGATAAGTCGATCCCCCGAACGTCGTTCATACAGTTCAGAAGTTTGTTGAACTTCATACAGTTCAGATCACTCAGCACGACGTTCGTAGTTTGACTTATCGAGACGGCTTCTGTATGTATACATGAAGTGAACTGTCTTTATAACTTATCTTCTTATTAAATGATCTGTGCACTTACAAAGTTCTCAATGCTTCGTTTTGTATGTACGGACCCTCATTATGTTACTGTGTTAGTGTGGGGCTATTTTGAGCCTTGTTAATGGTATAAACTAGCAATTTCTTTTTAGTTAGTCAACGCCCCCATTACTAGCATTATACGCTAAACAGTTTTTAGAGATAAAACTCTTTACATTCGATTATCATGAAAACAAATCTCAGAGAACGATTGACTAGGTACCGATGTTTTATTAGGCCAAAGGTTCATTGTTCGCCGGAGTTCTCCTTTAAATCATTTTTTCACTCACATACACACACACACACACAAAAGGTTTTATAAAAACAAACCTCACATATTTCAGGCTTGAAATATTTTTCACAAAAAAGGTGGGTAACACTTTAGAATACGGTTCCTTCGTTAATGAATATCTACACAAGAACTAATGAGTAACACAATATTAACAATCTAGTAACTATTATTAACTAACAAGAAACTCTGATTAACGAACTAGTAAGTAATAGCACACAGACGAAAGTGGCAGTTCACTATTAACTAATCAATAACTACTATTTTTTTTAATACTTCCCAGAGAACTACTGAAAAAGTTTATTAACAATCTAGTAACTATTAAATAAAAGAAACTCTTATTAACGAATTAGTAAGTAATAGCTCACAGATGAAAGTGTTACTAGATACTTCTGTGGGAATTAATAATTATTTGGATTCGTATTATAAAGTGAAGATCATTGGAACTAACTAGTAATTACTCAAGTAAAGACATTTTCTAAAAGTATACTAAAGTTCACAAAAAATCTTAAACGGTTGCACAAATCATGACTAGATCATGTAGTAACACTTGAGTAATTACAAGTTAGTTCCAATGATCTTCACTTTATAATACAGATCCAAATAATTAGTAAGTAATAGCTCACAGATGAAAGTGTTACTAGATACTTCTGTGGGAATTACTAATTATTTGGATCCGTATTATAAAATGAAGATCATTGGAACTAACTAGTAATTACTCAAGTGTTACTACATGATGATTTGTGCAAACGTTTGAGATTTTTGGTGAACTTTAGTATACTTTTAGAAAATGTCTTTAGTAACACTTGAGTAATTACTAGTTAGTTCTAATGATCTTCACTTTATAATACGAATCCAAATAATTAGTAATTCCCACAGAAGTATATAGTAACACTTTTGTCTTTATAAAAATAAAAATAAATAAATTACTTGACATTTACATTAATGCACATTAGCTTATCTTTTATAATTAATAGTAAAATTCAGTCCATGCACTGTGCTCTCCACAACGACAAAGAAGTTTTAGTAGCTGATAGATTTTCACCACCGAAGAACGCTTTCTATAGTTCTGCTCGACTACAAGATTTATTTACGGAGAAGAGAAAAACACCTTTAGTGTTTGGGTTCACCCCCATCCTTCATGTTTACTGAGCTTTCAATGGTGGTTGGTTCTTGTCACATGAAATGTGATGCGCTTGCTGCATTCTGAAAAGTTGAAGAGTTTATCTCGCTGCGCCTGGAAAAATCTTTTTTAATTATGAGAGTGCTTACCGCGACCCACAAGCCTACATTTGAAATAGCGAACTTGAGAGCACAAGACACAATATGTGAACGGCCCTACGGCGTTTATTTAGTCTGAAAACTCACGCACATGTTACGAGGGCAAAAAAAATCGAATCTCGAAATCTCGAATCAGGCCATGAGCCAGTGGAAGAAACACTAGTGGTTCACGCTTGCCCGCATACTGCTGTTTTTGCTTGTTTGGTGGAGGCAATCCAGAATTACTGTTGGTGAAATTATAATCAGACCCACCCTTAAAAAAATCTCTTCGGATCTGCACGATTCACACAAGTCACCCAAACTGACGTGAAAAAAGCGGGAGGTGCCGAAAAGTGTGCTGTTTTCATCCCTTGAGAGACAGTAAAATGACTCACCTCCATCCAGGGTCATGGGTGGCTTCATCACTTTCTTCCAAACAGCATAAAACTGCACCTTGGCGCAGAAGTCTTGCCATCTTTTCTTTAACCCATCTATGAATTTGCTGTTGCCCTTATCCAAGATCCGACACAGCTCACCCATCACCTATGGATATATGTGTCAAAATCTGCAACAATGCTTGCTTTATAAATGAGACAAAATAACTGAATTGCTTACATTACGAAGATCCTTGAAACATGGATAAGCATCCAGAATCTTTGTGGGCCTATCTTCTTCTTTTAGGGCATCACTGTCAATGAAGGCTCGTCTTGCTTGAAACTCAAGTCAAGGATTTGGGAGACAGCATCTTGGTTGGGTTTTGGTTTTTTATACATCTCCTGCAGAGTTTTATAATGCCTGGCCTGTGCTGTCAGGCTATCCCTGTCTGCTAAAAAGGAGAATAGGTGAAAAGGGTATTGGACACACAATTCTAAATAATTATATGGGTTTTAGATAAAAATGTCTCATAATAAAGACTCTTTTGGCTGCATAATGACATTAAAAACAATTTGACAGTTAAAAGTGCAAAATATAAATATAACACACGTTATATAAATGATAACCCCCAACACACAAAGTAATAAGAAAAATTAGCAGTCATCTGTTTAATCACATTATATCAAAACCCAATCAGAAAAGTAAAATATAAATATCTGTAATATAAAATATTAAAAAGTAGGGCTGGGTAATAAATATCGATTTCTCGATATTAATCGATTCTCATTTTTACGAACCGATATCGATTCTTAAATCTCAAGAATCGATTAGTCATCCTATTTCATTTGAATGAATGGGACATTGCATCCCGGCTGCGCGAATCTAAAAAAACGCAATAATCTTTGTCGTTTGTTACTATTGATATGAAACAAAGTCTCAATTTTCAAATTATGTCCATTTTCTTTAGAAATTCAAAAACATAAATAAGGTTTTGGCGCTATGGCGTGAGATCGCTCTGGCGGAGCTCAAGAGAAGCAGCAGCGCTGATCTCTCTTCCGGGATAATAATACCAGTTACAGCGCGAAATAAACATGAATGAGCATCTGAAAGTGTGTTAAAAGTTAAAGGACAACTTATCAAAATCCGTATAATGTCATATTGATTCGCTCAATCAGCGTTTCAACCGTGGAAAGACGTCAGTTAAACAGCTTGTAATCAATGTCATCGTCATATTTACCTCAGAAAACCCACATAAACTCATTAGCTAGAAAAAAATAACTCCAGAGAGGAGCATTTTGCTAAATATATACCATATTGATATTACATATATATGCATTATAATCTTAATATTCTTCAATATTTAAAGCATATTTGAATAAATCTGGCAAGTTTTTATGACAGCCACCATTTAAATGTTTATATTTCATATAATCTTCTTATTATAAAAATAAATAAAAGTGTAATTTAAGTGTTTGTACAGCTACAAAACAGTTCATTATTACCTTCATATTAGGCTAATGAAGTCTATAGGCTACAACTAGACTCCCATAGTTTACAGCATTTAAGAGATTTGATTCCCTTGAAAAAAATGGCCATTTATTGTAACTGATATCCAAAATAATCGATATTGAATCGAATCGAATTGCAAGCTTGTGAATCGAAATCGAATCGAATTGTGAAATTCGTCTCAATACCCAGCCCTATTAAAAAGTATCATAATATTGCCCAGCCTTGTTGTAATCAACTTACACGCACTGTGGTGGCCATCATCAGAACTACTCCCCGGTGTTTCATGCAAAATAACAGTGGATCCACCACTTGAGTCCGCATCATCATCATCTCTATTGTCACTTGATGAGAAGTCAATGCGACACCTTTTCTTTGGTTGGCCCCTCTCTGGTGTTGGTCCCTGTCTCTTTTGTGGAGACTTCACGTTTTGCAGCCTCTTGTGAAGATTATTGTAAATACTCAGCTGTGGAAAATAAAATGTCACATTGAGCGAACAATTAAAAAGGAAAACTTCGAGCTTTGTCACAGATAAAGAATGTCAGACAAAAATAAACATAGATGCTAAACCTTAAGTCCAGTAAATAAGCTAGCACAAATTTTCATCACTTACATGTTTCATAGTTTTGTCTTTGTCTTGTAGCATGGGATAATACTCCACTATTCTTCTGGCCATTGCTGTGACTTCATGCTTGGGAGGGTAGCGGACCTCCTCTCCTTGCTGGCTTGCTCTCAAAATGGAAATCATGCTGGTGACGGTGTTCCTCACCAGCCTGCATCTCAGCTCTTTGGACATGACACATTCCTGCTCTCTGCCAGTGCGTGCCATTTCAAAGAAATGCTTACGAGCTTGCTCCAACTCACTGTCTGTATAAACCACATATTCTGGAGGACTGGGAAGCTGTAGGGTCTTCTTTGGGCTGTTCTTCCACAATGGAGTGGATTCCTGAGGGGTGATTGGAGGCGTTCCTCTAAGTGCAGATACAGTTCTTGTTTCACTATGGCCAGCTTGGTCTGGTAAGGTGGGATTCTCATCCTAAAAAAGCAGATGGAAAAAAAAAATATTCACAAGACTTAAAGGAGAACTCCGGCGCAAAATGAACCTTTGCTCTAATTACACATTGGTACATAGTCAACCGTTCTCTGAGATTTGTTTTCATGATTATCGAATGTAAAGAGTTTTACCTCTAAAAACTGTTTAGCGTATAATGCTAGTATGTGGGGCATAGAGTAATGAAAGTAAAAATCGCTAGTTAATAGCACTAACAAGGCTCAAAATATCCTAACACTAACACAGTAGCATAATTAGGGTCCCTACATGCAAAATGAAGCATTGAGAACTTTGTAAGTGTACAGACCGTTTAATAAAAAAAATATTTTATAAGACAGTCCACTTCACAAATACAGACAGGAGCCATCTTTGAAAAACAGTCTCGAGCAGTCGAACCACGAACGACGAGCAAAGTTCTGGCTCATTCACATCTCACCAGCGCACTTGGCTCGTCGTTCGTGGTTCGACTTATCGAGTCTGTTTTCCAAAGATGGCTCATCCCTGTTTTCAGGAAGTGAACTGTCTTTATAACGTATCTTCTTATTAAACGGTCTGTACACTTACAACGTTGTCAATGCTTTGTTTTGCATGCAGGGACCCTCATTATGCTACCGAGTTAGTGTTGGGCTATTTTGAGCCTTGTTAGTGGTATAAACTAGCGATTTTTATTTTCATTACTCAATGCCCCATATACTAGCATTATGAGCTAAACAGTTTTTAGAGATAAAACTCTTTACATTAGATAATCATGAAAACAAATCTCAGAGAACTGTTGAATATGTACCAATGTTTAAAGGTGCCCTATAATGTGAAATTGAATTTATGTTGGCATAGTTAAATAACAAGAGTTCAGTACATGGACATGACATACAGTGAGTCTCAAACACCATTGTTTTCTCCTTCTTACTTAAATCTCGTTTTTGAAAAACACCCCTGAAAAACAGGCAAATCTCCATATAATACCGACTCTGACGCAATTGTCGGGATCATTAATATGTATGACCCAAAATATTTGCATATGCCAGCCCATGTTGACAGACGAGACGGAGCTGCGCAGCCGAAGCATGGCCGTTGATCAGTGTTTGGATGTACACGTGAATACAAAAGTATTTTTAGTTCCTTCATCCGAGCCTCTGAAGAAACAATGGGTTAATTTTATTTTCTCTGGAAATTTCCAAACACTGACGACTGTTTCCTCAACTTTCCAAGAGCTGGCCTCGGACCGAGCTGATGTGTTATTGTTGTTCAAGTTCAGACAGGTAACGTTAATCTTTCACTCAAAATCGTTCAATACTGTTTATGCATCAGTAAGTCAAGCCAGGGAGTTCACATCGTTTCTTTTAGTAGGATGAAAAAATAATAATAATTGTGAATAAATTGTATACAGAAAGCGATCAATATCTTTCCACACAGCGCGAGTTTATCTGGACACTTGCCAAACTCGTTATGAATTCAATGACGCACGTTACAATGCACAACGAAGCTCTTACTGCATTACATGATCGTGTTGGCATTGGTGAAAAAGCATTAGACTAGAGAGAGCAGAAACTGCATTGCAATGATAATATCTTCATCCTCGCGATCGACAGACTGTCCTCTGCTTGCTCAGCACAGCAACATTTTATGTGATGGGAATAGATCTAAATACTTCAAAAACATCTCACGATTCGTTAATCTTGATTGCTGTAATAGTAAAAACGTATAATAGCTGTAGTAAAATTATTCGAGAGTTTCACATGTGATACATAGCTATTTCATATGCAAGCGTGTCAGCTAATCACAGCAGAGGCCGGTTACACACAGCAGACACGCCCCTTCAAACCTAGTGTTCAGATCAGAGGCTAAAATCAGGCTAGGAAAAATGCCTTTTATTTCTAAATTATGACTATTTTTGATCTAAAAAACATATTAACATTATAAGGGCAACCCAGGAAACATTATAAAATAATAAAAAAAAACATTATAGGGCACCTTTAATTAGACCAAAGGTTCATTTTGCGCCGGAGTTCTCCTTTAAAACAACTTACTAATGTGCTAGTTATTATTTGACAAAGTATGTAACAGTTACCTCTGGGCTAATAAGAGCCCACACTCGTTTCCTCCTGAGAAAGTGTTCTGGCCCAGGAAAAAGGTCTCTCAAATCATCACGACTGAGGGTGTGGAGCAAGGCCTCATCAATGTTGGCAGCTATAAAGACAACCCAATAGTTAATGAACCTTTAATTATATTACCCGTTTTCCACCAAAGCATTTTGAGAGCCGGTGCCTGCGCGCAAACCAGTTCTTTGTGTTTCGACAGCCAAAGAACCAGTACTAGGCCAGGAAAACTGGTTCCAAATCAGCAACAACTCTTTGCTGGACTAGAACCGTTCTTTTACCACGTCATGCTTACGTCGGGGCTGGGGCGGGTTTAGATGTGTTCTAAACATCTTTTCTGACCATAATATAGGATCGCAAAGCCAGGAGAAACATTTGCAAAATCACGATGGAGTCCGCCTGTGTAATTGTTATGCTTGAAGTTGACGCATGCGTTTCTTTTTCTTTTTTTTCATTGAAAACATTGTAAGCAAAGAAGAAAACAGTCACAATATAGAACAAATAAATGGAAAGAAAAAAAAACACAAGACAGGGGTACATAACTAATCAGAAAAGTTTACATATTAAAGGAAAATACTTACATATTTCAATTGTTTTTAAAGCCTTCTTGGTACACGAGTTAGAGATAATCCCAAAGTAATGTTGTACTTGCAAGCGTTTCTAGCTAAGACATATGGCGACGTACACAGTGACGTAACAACTTTGTTCCCTGTGTGCTCTAGTCCAGTGTTTCCCAACCCTGTTCCTGGCGACACACCAACACTGCGTGTATTCTTTGTCTCCCTTATCAAACACACCTGATTCAACCCATCAGCTCATAATCAGGTGGGTTAATGAGCTGATGGGTTGAATCGGGTGTGTTTGATTAGGGAGACAAAGAAAACACGCAGTGTTGGTGTGCCGCCAGGAACAGGGTTGGGAAACACTGCTCTAGTCAGTGGAAAAACAAACAGGTTTTGAAAAGGTTCACAAGTTGAACCAACTCCGAACCAACTTTGAACCAGCACCAGTTCCGAACCAGTTCTTTTTTTAGTGGAAAAGGGGATATGGGTGATGCGATCTGCCACATGGTAAAATTTGACATATTACAGGTTTTGAGACCATATTAAAGCTGGGTTCGGGTCCTTTCCAAATCTGTTTTTATTTATTTTATTGTTTTTCTGTAACAAAAGTTGTAGTTATCTGAAGTCGGCTGATCGCAGTGATTTTCAGAAACAGAATTTTGAGAAAAACAGTTCTCTTGTGCTCTGCATCACAACCCCACAATATAATGCTGGATAAAAACAATAAATAAAAACTTGTGTGCCATTGTAGTTTACAAAGGACTCGCTAAATGGGTGATTTTGTTGTTTTTCTGCGCCATACAAGTTCTTAAAGAGAAAGACGTTTTCAGCTTGCCAGTATAAAATCGCAATTTTTCTGTACTAAATTAGTGAATTTTCCCAAGATATATTCAGACATGATAAACAAGATGTTATAGAATAACAATTTATTGAAAACCCAATTTTGAAAAAAAAAAAAAAAAAAAAAAAAACTGACATTCAATCTGTTTTTAGACCTTACTGAAAATGTACCAGCGCGACATCCGACAGGTTTTCCTAGATCGCATCACATATATTTTTTTTTACCCATTTCATGTTATAAATTGAAAGGTCAAGCTTTGTGTCTTGTCACTTTATACTCTTGACTGTAAAGCTGTAAAAACTATTTTTGAGATCACTATCAGTACAATAAGCTAAACATTTAAATTAAATTAATATAAATGATCAGCTTATTTATCATACGGACAATGATCTCAAAAAGTTATTATTATTATTTTTTTTAACTTAATGTTAATTTAATATGTAGCTTTATAACACCTAAACATGACTTACCCTTCAGAGTCGATACTGAAACATCGTCCAGTTCATCCATTATTGTACCTTTCTTGTATTTCCTTTACCTGGCAGGCGGGAAAAAATATCACATAATAATGTTTGTTATTGTTACTAAAGGTTAAAATAAAGTTATATCTTTGGTTTATACAGAAAAATGTAGATTATTTCTGAAAAATTGTCAAAATCAGATTTCAAGGGACAGTTCACTTGAAATAAATTTTTTATATGTTTTAGCTTACTTCAAGGGCATCCGATGTAGACTGTGGCTTTGTTTCCAAAGTATTTTCAATTTTGACATTTTTAGGTCAAACCGTTCTTGTCTGTCTGTCATATAATGCAGGTCTATGGTCACCACCTCAAAGAGCATGCACAGAGAAGTCCAAATTAAACATGATTTAATGACTCATAAATGTAAGTACACATTGATGGCCTAAGACACGAAACGAGCAGTTTGTGTGAGAAAACGAACAGTATTTATTTCGTTTTTACCTCTTGTAACCACAGCCATTTCCAACTGAACCGAACCAGACGGGCTCTGACCGAACTGAACCATGTCCAACGCTCCACCGGAAGTGACCGCTTGCGCGTGTACGTCACTCATTGTTTACACAGAGATTTCAGAAGTTTTACTTTTCACTGTGAAGATCTAAACATATTTAGTGACAATGAAAGGTAAAACTTCATTGTAAACAATGAGTTATGTAAACCCGCAAGCGATCACTTCCGGCGGAACGTTGAACATGGTTCAGTTCGGTCAGAGCCCGTCTGATTCAGATCATTTGGCCATTGCACAACTGATGCAGATCAGCTGTACATGGCTGTTGTTACACGAGGTAAAAACAATATAAATACTGTTCGTTTTCTCACACAAACCGCTCGTTTCGTGTCTTAGGCCATCAATGTGTACTTACATTAACGAGTCATTAAATCATGTTTAATTTGGACTTCTCTGTGCATGCTCTTTGACGTGGACCCTAAACCTGCATTATATGACTCACAGACAACAATGGTTTGACCGAAAAATGTCAAAATTGAAAATACTGTGGAAACAAAGACATCTACACCTTGGATGCCCTTGAGGTATGCTAAAACATATCAGAAATTAATTTCAAAGTGAACTATCCCTTTAATTCCAGACAATATGCCTATGTCATGCATTGTGTTGTATTCATCATAACAAATCACATTTTCAAAGCTGAAAAAAAAATCAAAACCATCCATGAGATCTGGAATGTGTGTGTTAAAATTACTGGATATAGTTTTGTGGTATGGATTTATCTGTATATATATATATATATATATATATATATATATATATATATACTGTATATATATATGCATGTCTGTTTGTCGTTCTGTATTAGTAATTTTTAAGTGTAACGTTACACAGAAGTCGAGCATATCAAAAAACATTTAACAAGTATCGTGATCTCTTACGTTATAATGACTGAAGCTGTCATTCATAGCAGCTAACGTTACTGCGCTAAAATAAGCCACGTGCAAATGAGATTTATTAAAAAAATTCTTACCTTTGTTCTCCCAGATTTTTCAAACGTCAGCTGATGTTTCCTTAACACTAAATTTTGTGTTTATCACAAACAAAAGATAAAAAACCGAAGTAAGTGAGCATCTAAGTTAGCAGATGTCTGACTATTTAAAATTGGGCCATAAGAAAAACTCGTAACGATGAGTGCAGCATGAGTGAGACTGGCTAACGAAACCAAATTATTGCTGGGACCAGGCTGCAGCTTTAACAATCACTGTAAAATATTATTTTCAAGAAAAAATATGTTTGTCTATAGTTTAAAATACTTTGTAATGAAAAATATACCTCACCTCAGCAGAAACCAATGCCTGTTCGCTGTACTCTTACAAGCAAACTGACAGAAGATGAGTCATTCTCTAATTTAGGGTACATTTCATGTCAGCAAAAAAAGCACAAGAGCACTGTCCTTTCTCAGTGGAATATTAAGTGTCTCAATATAGTATATTAATTCAGTGTTACAAATCTGTCATCTGCAGAGCTTAAATATTAACTGTTTTTAATTTTTTTTTAATTAAAAACATGTTTTTACTTCAGAGTTTGTCAACTATGTTACGGACAAACAGGGTGTCATACAAACCATTCAATTCAGTCTTGCACTTGGAATTTAATGCAATTTAGAAGGCTCTTGAGTCTATTTCTGCCACACATACAATTGTTATTTAAAATGATTTTCATAATTAACCTTTTTTTTAAAGATTAACATGCAATGCATTTATAACGGTCCTTATGGACAAGGATGTTTTTCATCATAAATCTCCATTAAAGTTATTTTTGATAATTAAAAAATATGTTATAGTAAACTACAACCTATGCAAATAAGTAGAATGCTAAAAAATGTCAGAAACATCAATATTGGCTATTTTAACTTTAAGAATCTAAGTGTAATCTAGGTGACAATGAAAATCACACGGTTGACACAAGTAACCTAGTTAACTGGACATATTGTTAACCATGGACAACATTTTATTTATGAGACAGAATTGAATTAGCAAAGTTGCTTTAGGTAATAACCTCTTTTATTTTAAATGTAGAATTATTAAACTGTACAGAAATGCACATAATTCCACAGAGAATACATGGATTCTGACACATGCTCTTTTGAAGTGCTATTTTATCTTTTTAGTTTCTTGCGAAGTTTATCAGATTTTCTTTTTTTGCTTTTCAAGCAAGTCTCTCAGTTTCTGTATTTCTCTATGTAATTTTGAGTTTCAAATATAAGTTATTTATTTAAATACTTAAAATATATTAATTCATTCGTGTCCACAAAATGTTGGTCAACTATGTTACAAACAAAACCTCCCCCAGCAACTCAAAAATGGTTTGTCCCAAGACCATGTGACCAGCACTATGTGATGTCACACCATGTGAGGTGCACTCTGGAACAGCCTATTTGTTCAGAAATTTCTTTCTGTGTCTTACCCTCTTAGGGCTCAGTGCTCTACCCTGCCATAGAGCACTGATGTAACTTAGTTGAAAGATAGTTGACCATAACATAGTTGACCATAACTTAGTTGACAATTTCCATATTTTTTCCCCATAACAGAAATGGTGGACCTAGCCTAGCTAACCACATGTTATTTTTTTTAAGCAGGTTAATGTAAGAATTCAACAAAAAAATTCGTTATAATAAATAAAACTGTTTAGCCATGACAATGTACATAACATAGTTGACGGTTAATAATACGGCCGTTGACAATATGCTTTTCTACATCAAATATTGAAAAAACTGATAGGAGAATCACCATGGTGTGTTTGAAATGGCCTCCACAGAGAAAATGACATCACATGGTGCTGGTCACATGGTCTTGGGACAAACCATTTTTGAGTTGCTGGGGGAGGTTTTGTTTGTAACATAGTTGACCAACATTTTGTGGACACGAATAAATTAATATATTTTAAGTTTTTAAATAAATAACTTATATTTGAAACTATTATTTTCCTTTAATATTAAGACTTTTGTAAAAGAATGCAAAAAGAATTGATTTATTTATTGATTTTAATGGATATTTTTGGACCCTCATCTTTCTCACATTGAAATCGGACATGGACAAAACTGTACATTTAGGGCCATATTGACACATTTTAAGTAAAATGAAGAATATATTGCACATATTGTCTGTGTGATGTTATTTCAGGAAGCAAGTTTACACATAAAATGCAATTTGTTTGAAGAAATTTGATTGTATAAGTATATTTAACATCAGTGGACATGCAGTGTACCCTAAATTATAGAATCACCCAGATACCACATGAGGGGGAAGTATGAAGTAACGTAATGCGCACTTGGTCATTTGTTAAGTGACTTTACCGTATTAGGAACGGCATATACTGCTGTATAAATACATTATTTGTGTATGTTTGAACTATAAAGTATAGTTGTTAATTGTTAAACCCGTTTCATAAAATTTGAATTGCATTACTTTGTAAGTCTCCCCCTCCCGATTCCTTATATGGTAATTACCGAACAAAAGCGCGCAAATCATAGCCCGCCAGAATATCACATTTCGATTCCGGTTTTCTGTGATGGTGACGGTGTGACTGATTGTTGGACTGTTTCTTTCACTTTTTCAACCATGGCCTGTTGGAGATGTGTGATTTGCTTCGTTTTTGTTGCTTTAACGTTGAAGTCTCTATTAAGCCATATTAACACAGCACATAGTCGCAATGCAGATTTCCGTGTTATATGCGGAATTGATGGATGTACCGAAGAATACAGAGTATTCAATTAATTCTACTATCATATCAGACGAACACATGCTTTGTATCTTACGACTGGGCGCCCAAACCCTGGATGGATGACATCTACATCTGAGCAATCAAGAGTTGGAGGTGAACATTTTGATATACCAATTTTTTTTGGACTGTACTACACAAACAAATGTGATGCAAAGTACCAGCAGTGAAGACAACACACCGGACACCCCTGAGATTTCACAGCAGGAACTTCTTGAAGTTTGCCCTCAACGTCCTGATCATCAGGTATGATGTAATGTTGGATGCTTGTGTTGTTATTTAAAAGTGATCAAAGTGCTCATGGCGCGGAGAGAGTGTAAAAAAACTATATGAGTGCGGATAGAACCTAGAACCTCTGACACGCTTGCCAAAAGTTCTGCCATTGGACCATAAAGTGCATGCAACTTTCGCATCTATGTGCCATCACGTGAAAATATCGCCACCAACCTATATTAGATCTCATTAAACACAATAAATCGATTGCTGGACGTCGGTATGTTATTGTACAGGGGTACATCTGATTTATGATTTAGCATTATAATAGCCACCCCCCCCCCGTCCTACCCACTTTTTAAAGCAAAGTTACGCCACTGCTTCCATGATAGTGTTAGATGGCTATAGAACATTTTGTTAACTAGCCTCTTACTGTGTATTTACCTCCACAGGAAGGAACTACATTCAATGTTGCCACTACAAGTGAAAATCTTACTAGACGTGCAGCTGCATTTACCGTTAATATCCGGGGAAAATGCCACCTGTCACAGGTATTCCACTCCATGTCATTAATATTATGTTACTTTTTTTATTGTATTTTAAAGGAGTAGTTCACATAAAAATAAAAATAAAAACTTTTGCTGCTAATTTACTCATGTCATTCTTTCATCAGTTAAAAATAAATTAAGGTTTTTGATGAAAACATTCAAGGATTTTTCTCCATAATGGACTTCAATGGGAACAAAACGGTTCAAGGTCCAAATGAGAGTTTCAGTGCAAACTGTCAAAGGGCTTTAAACAACACTTGACAATGAATAAGGGTCTTATCAAGCGAAACGATTGCTCATTTAAAAAAAACAAAAAAACAAAGTTTAAGTTAAGTTCAAGAACAGAGTACGGCAAGCATTTGAGCTTATAAAACTTCAACTTTTTTTTTTAATGAGCGATTGTTTCGCTAGAGAAGACCCTTATTCATCTTCTGGAATCGTTTACAGCCCTCTGAACAGATTGCAGTTTGCACTGAAACTGTCTTTTGGACCTTGAACCGTTTGGACCCCATTGAAGTCCATTATATGGAGAAAATCCTTGAATGTTTTCTTCAAAAACCTTAATTTCTTTTTGACTGAAGAAAGAAAGACATGGACATCTTGGATGACATGGGGGTGAGTAAATTATCAGCAAAAGTTTTTTTTTTATTTTATTTTTTTTAAAGTGAACTCCTTTATAGGGATAGGCCACTTACAAATGAAAAAAAATCTATCAATATTTTCTAGACCTATATGACTGACTTTCATCTGCAGAGCAGAACACAAACTACGATTTTCATTTACTTTCATAGTATAGAAAAAAGACTCAAACTGTTTGGTTACCAACATAAAATATTATATATTTTGTGTCCTACAAGTAATGCAGGTTTGGAACCACATGAGAGTGAATAATAATTAGATTTCTAATTTTGGGTTAACTATTCTGCCCTACAAAGGATAAGTGCAGTAACTACGCAAACAAAGAAGCGGAGAAAAAGGCCTTTAAAGTTTTTATACCAGCCAGTCAAACATGTTATGGGTAGATTATGTGGTAATGCATCTCCGAAACGGGACTTAATTTAACCCAGGTATTTTTTTCACAAGACAGAACACATGTCATAAAGCCCATTACAAGTCTTAACTAGCCTGGCTAACGCCGGACCACGTATCATTGAGAATGAAGCGTGGTTTGGAAACCACGTTAATTTTCTCGTATTTGAGGCGTGGTTTACTAATGCCCATAGTGTATTATTGGGTGCTACGAATATCTATCAAATGCGCCTGTCCGTCTATCAAATGCGCCTGTGCTCCCTCCCCGTTTTGTGATTGGTTCCCATGGTGTCCAGAGACTGCCTAGCAACGCAAATAAAATTGCGCTGCGGCAAATCAGAATGGGCAAACCCAGGCTAAGTCTTAACTCATTTTTGACCAAATGTGTAGTTACTGCGCTTTGCCTTTGTAGGGCAGTATTGCAGGGCTCTAGACTAGGGCTGTGGCTATTGATTATTTTAGTAATCGAGTATGGGCTCTATGCACGGCGGTATTTCCCACATTGTGTTTATGCTTCTTTTTAAAATTATATTAAATAAACATAACTATATATAAAATTACATCGAAACGTATGTACGTTTAGTTTCAAAGACGGGAGGACAGTAAATTTTGAAGACTCTGCCATAATCCCGTTTTCTCCGGTTTTCCTCCGCTTTAATCTACACAACCGGAAATGGACGAGCATCCCTGCGTCAAATGCGGAACTTATGCGTGCATATAGCCCATTCTACTGATTAATCGAGTAATTGGATAAAAAATAGTAATAATGAAAATAGATCCAAGTGAACAACAGCCTTTAAAATAACTTTAAATACAAATAGGTAACACTTTACAATATGGTTCATTAGTTAACTACTTTAGTTAACATACTAAGAATAAACAATACTTCTACATCATTTATTAATCTTAGTTAATATTAATTTTTAACATTTACTAATACATTATTAAAATCAAAGGTTGCATTTGTTAACATTAATTTACTGTGAACTAATATGAACAAACAATGAAACTAACATTAGCAAAGATGAATAAATGGGCCTACAGTTACAAATAGGGATGGGACGATTACCGGTTTCACTATAGAGGGTTTTCACCGACGTCACATTTTGGGCGGTAACCCGGATGAGCGGCCATTATGGAGGCACTCAGATGTAAACAACAGCATGGACTGCACTGTTTATGTACTACTGAACACATTGTTAGACTAAAAAAAAACACAGAATAAAAAACGTGGTACGTGCAAAATCATAGAGAAGGACTTATCAAGCAGGAGAGAGCGCAATATTTTGACAAACTAAAGTTAATATGTGGTAAAGGTCCGAACGAGCTAGCTTTTCTTGCCCCTGCTGCAATTCTTCCTTCTATTTCTTATTCCGACATCAGATGTCAGTCCAAAAAGCACATGAAATCTGTTTCAAGCAACATCCATATGTGGTTTGAAATCCTATTCAAATACCAGGACATATGCCTCAGTCTGAACGATCGGATTTTGGGTGGTATGCGACTCTCACACCACATAAAATGTAAACGTCATTGGTTGTTTGAGGAGACATGCTGCAAGTCGCTGCCGAAACAATCCTGTGTTGTTGCAAAGTGCCGGACGAGCAGAAAAGTGTTATTTCTGAAACATATATTGAAACGGGCGCAGACGAGCGGGAAAAAAAGCTCTAACGTTTCATAACAGCCTCCTACAGTTCTCCAGCTCAATAGGCATTATAGTCCAGTGCGGCGGTGGCTACATACATATTAGGGCTGCACGTTTTCAAGTTTTACATTAACCGTTAACCGAGGCCCTTATCGGTTAATACTCGGTTAACCATGTGCGCGCCGCAACCTCGAGATACAGAGTTAATTTTTAACACATTCAGATTCATATTCTACACATCCAGACCTTTCAAAAAAGTATGGTTTTGTTGGGAGGTAGGGAGGGTGCACAGTAGGCCTATGTAGCTCGCCGCCTAATGTCTTCTGAATAATATTGTAATCATATAAAGCATTAAAATAATATCCTGCTTAAGTCAGACACACAGACATCAACAATTATAATTAGGGCTGCACGTTTTCAAGTTTTTCATTAACCGTTAACCGAGGCCCTTATCGGTTAATAATCGGTTAACCATGTGCGCGCCGCAACCTCGAGATACAGAGTTAATTTTTAACACCTTTTTAATAACTGGTTGCACCCCATTTGAAACGAAATTAATTTATAGAAATAAAACGCAGTGGTAAGTACAGAGCAGTTAAAGTAGGTGCGTTTCCATCACCCTTCAAAATGAAATTGCCAATTGAAAATAAACACATTAACTCCGTGTCCGCAAATAATAATAATAATCATCATTATTGTAACATTTTATTAGGCTGCATATTATGTAGAAAACGCCTTTATCCAAAAAAAGGAACAAAGCACAAATAAACCCAATATTTTTGACGCATATCCAGTGTGTGTGAAGCGCGCATTGATGGCTGCGAGACGCCCATGTGAACACTTGCAGTTCTTTCAGTGGAAACAAACAACTTAAAATACTCTTTCATTTCTGGTCATACAGAAAATAATAATGCATTATTCGCAAATACATTTATTTGCGTAAACTCACAATAACAAGAAAACGTTGTGCTTTAACATTCAGGCGCGCTTCATGATCTCCGCGAACTGAAGCGCGAGAACTGAAACAACCACCGCATTCGGATTTGTTAGTTTTAAATTGGACATGTAAAGCTTTAGTCTACAGGGGTTATATCCTTTGTAGGCTAAAGCTTTAAATAGCCGAAAATGATTTAGAAAACAATAGTTTATTATTAAATAATTAATGCCTCGTCATTTTATATTATTTTATTATCAGACACATTTATTATAGCCTATATAAATCACTTATGAATCCCATTTCTGCAGGCTGTGGTTACGGCTCTTCTCATTCAGCATTGCGGGGGAAATCATTTCCAGGTTCTAATTTGGCCTCAGAAAACCAGTAAAATCTTTTTTTTCATATTATTTTGTCAAATATTTTAAATGTTTAAGGGGCAAATTCGTCGATATGTAGCCTATAGCTACCCTATATATTTTTGCGCAGCATTTGGTCTATAAGCCTACAGTTCAAATGAACATTTTGGTGTTCAACTTTGCTATTTACAAAATACAACAACCGTTTATTTTTCATTTTGCAATTAGGCCAACGGATTAAATAAGGGGAAACGAATGAACACAAAAGTAGACCGTTTGGACAAAATACGAGGCAGAGTTCTTTTTTAAAATTCATAAAAGATACAAGGAATAGCCTACTAGACAAAACCTCAAAGAAATGCCACAATCAAGACCGCGGAGCAGAAATGAGGGACAAACACACAGAAACTCTGTGACTTTCCCTGCCATTAATGCTTGGATGACACACCACGTCTCCTTCCATAAATAATAATAATGTCTAGTGCAGTGGCTCCCTTACGAAAAATAATTGCAGTACAATGAAGTACAACTGCAGTAAAACTGCAGTTCAAAGCAGTATAACTGCAGTACAATGAAGTACAACTGTAGAATTGCAGTATTAACGAAGTATAACTGCAGTATAGATACAATGTGACTGTAGTACATTGAAGTGCAACTGCAGTAAAACCACAGTACAAAAAGTACAACTTCAGAATAGTGAAGTAAAACTGCAGTACAACTGTAGATTTGCAGTATTAACAAAGTATAACTGCAGTATAGATACAATGTGACTGCAGTACAACTGTAGATTTGCCGTATTAACGAAGTATAACTGCAGTAAAGATATAATGTGACTGCAGTACAACTGTAGATTTGCCGTATTAACCAAGTATAACTGCAGTATAGATATAATGTGACTGCAGTACAACTGTAGATTTGCAGTATTAACGAAGTATAACTGCAGTATAGATACAATGTGACTAGAGTACATTGAAGTGCAACTGCAGTAAAACAGCAGTACAAAAAGTACAACTTCAGAATAGTGAAGTAAAACTGCAGTACAACTGTAGATTTGCAGTATAATGAAGTAGTAGCAATAACTTCAGTTCAGTGATACACTTTAAAAAGTGATAGACTTTTTTTGATAGAGAAAACTAATCAATTTTTTTTTTTATCTTTTTGTTTTTATTGGGCTCTCAGGCAATGATATCAGTTTTGCCATTAAAAAGTAAAATTACTGAACCTAAATAAAGGAGCAAAAAAGACAGATGAAGTTTTTGTTTTTTGCATCTGAAGTCTTGGCCTACCAATATTAAACTGTACTGCAGTTCTGCTGTTTTGTGCGAGACATAGCCCATGTGACCAGAGCTTCCTTCGCGCGCACGCGCCGCGGGCGTTGTCCTGACAACGAGTCTCGAGAGCAGCTGATGCTTATTACTGTCAGTCAGCGTCTTTCCGCGTAGTGTCTGCTCCATAAAATATGGTTTGGTTGATTTCCTCACTGAAATTATCGTTCATATAGGTTCATATTTATGAACTATCACAATTAAAACACAAAGACATGACAGCATTACTCGTGGTGACGACGGTCATTAACAAGTGGAATGGAAGAGAAGCGTTTTCTGGAAGAAAAGAAGTTCATTGCGCGAGGCCTTGTCAAGTCATTCAGCTTAGAGGTGAGTAAATTATAACATATAATGTATTTATATATTTACATATTTCTATTTTTTTATTTTAGATTGGTGTAAAAAAGACTTTACGTATATGTTGTTCAACCCGGTGGATAAATAAGAGGAAACGCCGCTTCTATTCTGTAATTTTAGTTTTACCATTCTCCGGTTTAACGTTACACTGTTTAACGTTAGTGTTAACTGCGTCACAGCAGATTGTGTAACTTATGTTTGCCCTTTGCAGCATATTGTCTATCACTTTTAACGCATTTTTTTAAAAAACTATCTGTATTGTATGAAGTGCTATACACGGTGACTTTACTTGTTTAAATTTAATATTATATTATAATATTATAAATATAATATTATACTTACTGGAAAATACAAGCAAATTATGTTCAGTAGTTTGACATTATGTGCAGAAAAGAATTTTTTTTTTTTTAAAGTAGGCTAACTTACTTTTTTTTGTGTGATTGCTATTTCCAGGAAAATGTACTGGTAACAACTAAAAACAGAAGACGATGGCTGGGGTGAAACAAATATGCACTCACAGACTTTAAAAATTGTGTGTCTCTGCTTTTTTCCAGAAATGCATGTTATTGGGCAAATTGTGTAGACTGTCAATGGAGTGACAGAAAGATTTCATCAAAAATATCTTCAGTTGTGTTCCCCGTGTCTTGCGGGGTTGGAATGACATGAGGGTGAGTAATTTAACTTTTTATCTGGAGTGTTCAAACTCATTATTAATGCTGAACAATAAACCATAAATTAACATAAATAGGATGTAATTCAATAAGATTAAATCTAATATGGATATGTCTAGATATAGAATAACATTTTGCAAAAGAAAACCTCAAAAAGGTTCATTATAGATACAGTAAGATACAGTAAACACCTGTTCACTGGTCATTTTCCACAGCTGTATGCAAAGGCAAGTGGGCTTCTCCTGGGAGACTAAATTAATCACCTAGTTTAGTGCTGTCTACTGTTTTAGAAGAGGAAGTTGCTCAACTGCATTTGTGAGAAAATTGAGCCGAGATCTCTTATATAAAGCCAAGTGTTAAGGCCCTTTCACACTGAACGCGATTTTGACGCGCGAATAATTCGCGCGATGGTTTTATTTTTTGATCAGCTGTTTGTGTAATGAGTGCTTCCACACCGAACGCGAATCTGCTGCGGCGAAAAAACGACTTTTATTTTTTTCACTTCGATGTCAATTTTTGAGGCGAAAGAAAAGGCTTCAGCCAATCATATACAGGGAAACAAAGGTGACGTGACCGCAGCAATGACGGACGGACCTTCTGATTGCTTGTGTGTCGAGTCTGTGAATGAATATCTGAAACAAGGACTGGTGGGACGTTGTGCTCGTTCGTTCGTATCGAGCCCAACCGGGTGTTTACAAGGCTTTTCAGTCCATTTGAGCCTTCAATACGTTTACTAAAAGTGTTTATTTGATTGCATGTAAACGTAGCCCCTGATGAATGGGACAGCTCACCTTCTGCCATATGTTTCTAGCTCCGGTAGTGGGTGCCCCAAACCTTCTTTTCTGCTTTTAAATAAAATAAAAAGCTTGTCTTCACTGGATGATAATGATAGTGATGAAGAAGCTATGTGCCACGTCCCGCAAGTCATAGCACTGTACCGCATTTTTTTTGTCTGCATCCTTTTATTTAATCGTCCTTTAAATAACAATTCTAAAATTAAAAAAAATGTAATAAGAAAACATAGAAAATGCACAGCACAGACGTTAATGGAGCCATCACAAACAAACAAACTCTTCGTGGAGAGAGTGTTTCTGATGAATGCTGCGTGGACAAGGAACCAGGCAACTGTGGACCTAAAGTGAACTGGTGAAAGTGAGCTCCACCTGCCAGTAGTTACTGCGAGTTACTGACATGCACATAATTAAAAAGAAGGTCCAATCGAAGCTGCCAGATCATCAGACAAACAATATAAATTCAAAATGCACTGATCGAATCCGGTAAGAACGCATTCATCTTTATCTTTCCTAATGGACTTATGTGCTTATTTGAAAATGTGCTATTTAGAGATTGGGATTTTTTTTTTTTATTAAGCCTATTAAAGCATCATGTTAACATCACTTCAAAAAGACATCTAATATAAAATCTATATTTATTCACCTATAGGCTATAATAATAAGTATAGAGTAGCCTACGTTTTCTGATGAAAATCAGGTCTGCTTTCATCGGCGCGAATGTTTTGGAATGTTGAAGTTCTGAACGTCGCAAATTCGCGTCGCGGCTGATGTGAATGGTTTTGACGCGAAATATTCTCACGCGAACTATTCGCTTTTTCGTTTCGCTTTTCCGTTACGCATCCGGTGTGAAAGGGCCTTTAGGGACGCACGATGACATCAGCACGACATCGGTATCAGCCGATAAAAGCTTAATGATCATCGGTATCGGCCGATAGTAATATCTCTGCCGATGAGCCTTGCCAATATGTGGTGGATATACTATGCGCACGTGACGACCGTGAACGTAGCATGAGCGCCAGCAACTTAAATGTCCAGCTGTGTGGAGGAAAAGGTGCGCTTCAGTATCGAGTTCTTTTTCAGGCTTGAACAAACCATAACACACACACAATATGTGCCAAAATGTCAGTTTTGTCGAGTGTCCTCATTAGAGCAGTTTTAAAGGTCCCCTGACATTTTTTTTTTATTATTATTTTATAATGTTTCCTGGGTTGCCCTTATGTTAGTATGTTTTTTAGATCAAAAATAGTCATAATTTCATAATTTCAAATGACTCAGAGCCGGTGTTGTGCCTATTTTCCACCCTCCGCCAGCGGAGCGCTGATGAGGGGGCGTTCACATTAACACATGTCACCACTCACCACTCTTTTGCCTTGTTCAATATTCCCCCCAACACTTTTTAAAACGTCTTCGCGGCAAGGATGTACCAATACAAAATAATAAAACATCTCCAGTTAACTTTCAGACCATTCAATTTGTTCGTTTGTCAAATTAGAGTCCATCTAGCTCTGAAATGTGTTGTTTTTTTAAATCAAGTGATCACTTTTTGGCAGGTAAAACACTGCATTATAATGGTTGTATTGGCCCTTTACAGGTATTTTAATAGGTCAAAAGTACTGGGTGAGTAATAATCAGTCAGATTTAACCTCATTAATATAAGCAACACATTTCAGGGCAGAAATAACCTTTCAATCAATAAGTAGAGGCTTCAATCACTGAAGGTTGGTTGTAATAATGGTTGTACTGGGTGAGTGATGTTTATTTGCACGTTATGTCTGCTTGATCCACATAAAAGCAACTGCATTCGTAAAGTGAATGGGCGATACACCTGTAACACGCGGCGCGCGCTCCCGCGGCCGGCCATCAATCTTCGGCGGACCATCACTTTTCGGCTACGAGTCATTTGAAATACAATAAACGTACAAATAAATATTACAGATTAAAAAACGATCGGAAATGTCGTCCAATTTTCTAATACTATTGTTTGATGACAACAATACATTTGGAAAACAAAATACAGCCATTTCTGATTTTTTCTTTTAAACAAAAAACCAAGTTGCACCCTTTTTTAAATGTCATCTTTCATTCCGAAATAGAATAATGAATGAACGAAAAAGAACACGGGCCGTGCGTGTATTTTTATATATATATATATATATATATATATTATTATATGGGTGGAAATGTGTATAAATATCGGTATCAGCCAAAATGAGTTTGCAAATATCGGCATATCGAATATCGGCCAAAATCCAATAATTTGCGTCCCTACCAAGTGTCTCACACTGCATTTTCGCTCAAATTGACCTTTTCACTTGCGCATTGCTTGCTTCGTTTATGAGTCGAGTTTTCCTTTACAAAGCAGATTGAGTTTGTTTGCAAATGCTGGATTTGTTTGTTTAATTATGGCACAATATTAATTCCATTGAATAACTCCTATTTCAAAAAACAGTGGCGTGTTCCTGCATTAACTTGCAGATTCATTTTAAGCATAATATATGCCTGTGGTGAAGAGTAACTGAAAAGATTGTCTCTGATTCTTTTTGTTTGTTTATTACAGACTACTTCCAAAATTGTGTTTCCACATCTGAGATGAAGGCAGTGAAAAGTGGAATAAGAACGAAGTGGAATAAGAATAAGCTCTTCAAAAAACACAACTTCTCTGAATAATGTGGGTGAAGATGTTTGCATGATTTGTAAATAAACACTTTAAATACATTGTCTAACTCTCAGCCTGTTATTTGAAATAAAATAAAAAGAAAAATCACGTTATTTGTTGCATTGCAGTTTGAGACATTCACTGTTTTGTTCCTTAATTCATTATTGCAGATGTGTGAACTTATTTGGGATATTCTGGTTGTATTCCAATGGTATTGTACAGCATTTTATTTGTATTGCATTTCAGTAGTATTGTACTTTAGTCGAATTATGTATTGCAGTGCTACCGCAGCTATATTGCAGTATTATTGCAGTACTACCGCAGTTATATTGTAGTACTACTGCACTTATATTGCAGATCTACCGCAGTTATATTGCAGTATTATTGTACTACTGCAGTTATATTGCAGTACTACTGCAGTTATATTGCAGTATTATTGCAGTACTACTGCAGTTATATTGCAGTATTATTGCAGTACTACTGCAGTTATATTGCAGTATTACCGCAGTTATATTGCAATATTATTGGAGTACTACTGCAGTTATATTGCAATATTATTGGAGTACTACTGCAGTTATATTGCAATATTATTGGAGTACTTCTGCAGTTATATTGCAGTATTACTGCAGTTATATTGCAATATTATTGGAGTACTACCACAGTTATATTGCAATATTATTGTAGTACTACTGCAGTTATATTGCAGTATTATTGGAGTACTACTGCAGTTATATTGCAGTATTACCACAGTTATATTGCAGTATTATTGTAATACTACCGCAGTTATATTGCAGTATTATTGTAATACTACCGCAGTTATGTTGCAGTTCTACTGCAGTTGTACTCCAACTACTGTATACTGCAATAATGCAGTTTTTTCGTGTCCAAAAAACTGCATTTTCTACATGCAGTATTACTTCTAAAAAAACTGCAGTAATTTTTTGTAAGGGCTGTGATATACCAACGTCCGTTGCCATCATTTTTGGAATGGCTTATCGCGAAAGGAAAAAAAAATGTTTTAGTCGCATAACACCGTTAATAGAAACGCTGTCATTTCGCAATATTTTTTTATCGACAATCAGAAAAAAAAAATCGCAAAAGTTTTGTGCAAATATGTATTGACGCCACTTAACCGAGCAAAAAGGTTTCACTCGGTTATGGAATTTTAAACGGTTAATCGGATAACCGGTTAACCATGGACACCCCTAATACATATCCATGTTGTAAAAATTAAATAAGAAAACATCTCTATTGAAAATGCAAACCGCTCCATCAGTGTCAATGTCAGTGCTGTATTGCCCGAGAGCTGCATGACATCTGAACAGTTGCGATAAACAGTGTGGACATCATTTTAGATCAGATTCCAATCAGATACAAAGATAATTGGATTTGGACTGACAGTGTGAATGTAGCCATAGTTAATACGTCAACATTTTAGCCATAGTCAAAGCTTCATTTACTTATGAGCTGATGCTGTGACTCTCTGAACCACAAATGCCTTCTTTCATCAGTTTTTTTCACTTTTCTCTTTAACTTTTGGCAGTCTATAGAACTCAAAAGGTATTTTCCCGATGCGAACGATTAGTACAGACCAAAACTCGACCATTTTTCAGCAGAAATAATCAGCCAAATTTGCGAGTCCGTTCAGTTCAATGGCATTGTTTGTGTTCTGTGCCTCCAAAATGTCCGACTTCCGGATTGATGTGTCGTCAAAACCCTCTATAAACCACGAAAAAATGTACTGAAGGTTAGTATTATCGCTTTCCTTTAGTGTCAGTTAGATGACGCCGTAGGATTGCGTCATGTAACTGACGCTAAAGGGCGCCTTAAGCGTCAAATATTAAAGCATGGTCAAAGGTGACGCCTTGGGGTGAGAATGCGTTGCGATGCTTAGCTGACATTTCGGGCTGCAGTTAAGAGATTCCTGTCTGTTGGATTTAAGTTATTATTACAGCACATGAATTCATCAGTTTCTCCCGAAATACATGAAATTTGCTGGTGCAGAGCTGCCGATATCAAAATTGCTGATGAGATCTAGACGAAAATGAGAATATTGCGAAAATGAAAATGTTACCTTCCTCCCGATATCTATGTTTCACTGTTGACATTGTCTGATGCCAAATTGGTAGACATCGCCCAACCCTAGTCTATAGACTAGTGTATATATAATTATCTGTAAAAAGACTTCTGAATCCTGCATATTCTGCATGTCTCTGTGTGAATGAATGGCGCAGACACAGTTTCATTTTCCACAGACGCTTGCTGTGTTTTCAGCCTTTTCGAGGACATGAATGGATGAACTTCATCTCCAGATCCGCTCTAAGAGTCACTTTATAAGCATTTAACCGTTTCATTTCAGTTAAACTATCCTCATATCATGAACACATCTCACAGGTCTTCACAGCAACCTGTCAAAATAAAATTTCAGAATAACTTTACGTAACTTTTTTTAATTTAATTTACGTAAATTAATGTGTTATGCCTTCATTTTTGTTTACCAGAAAATGTTTTTATAGCCTATACCACACAGCATTTCTAAAAAAAAATAATAATAATAACAATTTTTTTAAATTTTATTTTATGTATTATATATTTTTTAATTAATTCAATTAATTTGACATGCTTTTTAATTATTAAAATTGTATTAAACCGTTAAAATGGAATACAGTAAAAAATAAAATGGAATTTAAAGGGGGACATATTTCATTGGCCCACAAAATTGTATATACTACTATATACTATAAACTTGATTGGAATCATGGGTCATGATTCCAATTAATTTGTTTTCTTTTAACCTTTACATTAATGTAAAACCAGCATGCAAATTAAAAGGATGATGCATCAATATGCAAGGTCATTATAATTATTATTATTATTTAAGGTTGTGACCAAATAATAAGTCAGTGCAACCAACTGAGAAAGTTAGCTGCACCAGTGCGACCAGTGGGAAAAAACAAGTCTAGAGCCTTGTTTCACTTGAACACCCCTTCCAATGCATCAAAATTAATACAATTTTTATATTAATGTTTAATAATAAATTTACATAAATACATTTTTAAAGGTGCAATCTGTGTGGACAATCTATGCAATCACAGCAAAATACTTTAGAAATGCAAAAATGTACAAACTTATGTATGTGTGTGTACAGAATGCATGCTATTAAGGCTATAATTGTTTATCATCTTTCAGTATTTACTGGGGATAATAAGCTTTAATTATTTCATTTTTGTACCTAATCTATAATGTCATCTTGACAACAATAAACACCATATGGATTTGTGACATTGAGTTTTTTTGTTTCAGAGGAACATCAACAGCATTGTCTCTGGAGTCCAGCAGTATCAAACTTCTCTTCTGAATACACTGAAGGACAGAATGAAGAGGATCTTCGAAAGACATTCGGACAGTGTGGAGCAGCTCCAAGAGGAGGCACTGGCAACATTTGATACATTTCAGGATCCTTTCTCCAGTATGGCCACCACATACATGCAGGACAGCACCATTCAGGAGCTTTTTAACCCAGTTAAACCAGAGGAGGTAGTTATATCTCAAAGGGTTTGTAGGGTTAAGAAAGGACCATCAAGGGTTCTTGCGATCAGAAACAAGAGTTTTTACTATATTCCCTTAATTAAGAGTCTTGAACAGTTCTTGTCCAATTCCAGAATTTTAGATATGATCAGCACCACACCACAGAGCTGCGACAAAGATGATTTTTTTTATGATATTAATGATGGGAGTCTTTTCAAATCCCACCCACTGTTTTCAGTAAAACCTTCTGCTTTGCAGTTGATTTTGTACACTGATGAAATTGAGATATGCAATCCCCTGGGGTCACACGCTTCTGTACATAAATTACTGATGGTTTATTATACTTTAGGAAATATAGACCCCAAGTTTAGGTCAAAGCTTGCTGCAATCCGACTCCTTGCTGTAGCAAACGCTAAGGATATTGATGACTGTGGTGTTGATGTTGTTTTGCAAAGAATTACTGAAGACTTGCAGCTGCTTTATAATGGTGTCAAAATCCAAACACAGAATGGGGAAATGGATTTATGTGGTGCTGTAGTCGCAGTATGTGGTGACACACTTGCACAACACGAGCTCGCTGGTTTCAAGGAAGGTGTTGGTTTTGCCTACAGTAAGTGTAGGCATTGCGAATGTACCTTTGAGGAAATGCAAAGGAATTTCGACGAACAAAGTTTCACCAAAAGGACACTGGAAAAACACCTTAGACAGTGCCTTGAAATAGAAAGGGCTACCACAGAATTCTTGAAATCAGCTCTCAAAACCACCTATGGAATTAACAGAAGAAGTCAGTTGATTGATTATCCAGCCTTTGACCTTATTGAGCAAACTCCACAGGATATAATGCACATCATTCTTGAGGGTGTTGCACCCATGGAAATTAAATGTGTGTTGAAGTACCTTGTTCTTTCTGGACAGATGGAGTTGGACATGTTCAATTCAGCCATGCAGAGCTTTCCTTATTCATCAATAGACATACGGGACAAACCATGTCCAATCAGTGTCAATACTTTGGCATCTAATGATCACAAACTCAAACAGACGTCTGGTCAAATGCTGGTATTGTTGAAGATCATGCCGTTTCTGTTAAACGGTATTGAAAAGAATGAATATGTTCAGTTTGTTTTGGACTTAATTGAGATAGTTCAAATCATTTTTGCTCCTATTTTATCTGTCCAAAGTGTATTACGACTGAAAACAATGATTGAACTCCATTTGATAAAGTTTAAGCAACTTTTTCCTGAGAATAATGTAATTCCTAAGCAACATTACATGCTACATCTCCCTGCTCAAATTCTTTCTCTAGGCCCTTTAATAAGGCATATGTGTATGAGATTTGAGTCAAAACACTCTTTTTTCAAGCAGTGGTCATCGAAATTGAACTTCAAAAATGTCTGCAAGTCGCTTGCAAACCGTAATCAACTTTTTGAAAGTTGTCAAAATGAACTTGGTACTGAGCATCCTATTTTTGTACATGAGAAGGAATTGGGACCTGTTTCAGAAGTGACAAATATGGAGTACATTACAGCAAAGATTAGAGATTTTTTGGGAATTGATGGCATTCAACATGCAGTTGCAGTGAAGTGGCTAATTCTTAATGGTAACAAGTACATCAGAGAAAAGTCTCTGATAATCATAAGTGCAAATGGTAAATTGCCTGTCTTTGGACTTATAAAGAACATTTATGTTGTAAACTCTTTACTATATTGTTTTGAATATCAGCTTTATGAGACTCTGGGTCTGAAAAAAGATCTACTAGCGTATGAAGTTTCTGTACCTAATCTAGCCCAGGCAACAGAGTTTACAGATGCTGAAAAGCTAATCGATCATACATCTTATTATCTAATCAATTTCAAAAACAGTGCATATGTTTTGACAAAATATAACCTTGATGATGTTATTGCTCTTAAAACTGGCTAATTAAACATACTGAATGAGATTTGGAAGGAGTGTGTTGACTTGATGTTGATTTTTTTACTGGGTTGTAAATGTGTTGATGTTGCATAAAACCAGTATTTGTAATAAATAATGTTAATTAACAAATCCCGAGTGTGATTGAGAATTTTTTTTACTAGGTAACCTTAAAATAAGTTCTTAAAGCTAAAAAAAAGTATTTTAAGACACACTGCTGACCTAAAACGATGTCTCTAACATTAATTTAGCTTGATTTATAGGTAAACTAACTAACTTTAAGATTTACTAACCAAGTAAGAATAAATAGATTAATAATCTTAAAACCATCTGAATAATCTTACACAATCTGATCTTACATAGTGTTTTATTCTCAAAACAAGATCAATAAAATTTAACGGCTGGATATAAGATTGCAAATCTTGGCTAGATGAGGAGTTTTTGCAGTGTTTAAGTGAAAACCTGCACGATGGTCATTGTGACACTATATTTATGTGGAAGCTGCGAAAAAGATCTATAGCAGCTAACGTAGCAACGTAAATTCGTGATAACAGGACACGACGAAGGCCCGACTCCAGTTATGAGCTGGCCTGGATCTCCCTGACATTGGGTGTCTGTCAGAACACGGAATGAGATCGTATAACGGCTTGTGCGCTTAATAACTCTTGGTAAAATCCTTTAACGTTATTCATTTTCTCATCCATGCATTTTTTATGATTCTAGTGTCAAATTATTCCTCAAATTGAGTGTGAAAGGAACCGCGAAATGCGATAGAAACAAGTAAATCTCTAACAACAACCAAGTTATCGTTAGCTGCTACCATATGACATCAAATCACGCATATCCAAATTCTTATTAATATAATTCACATTATGAAGAAAAAAAATCTAATGTTACACGGCTCTCCTCAATGAAATGGCGCCAAACGTCGTTGGATAACCGTCAGCGTAGGAAACTCAGTAACCAAACTACCAGCATAGCATATTTTTTTCATCTACAATATGTTATACATTTAGATTGTAATCCTGAGACAAATAGCATCTTAGTATTCAAAGATATTTCCAGAATCAACTGGACCTACCATTAGTTGATCGAAGCACCGCGACTAACCCTCACGAGATGGCGTCTTCGTTCTTCGTTTTCAGTGGGTGGAGCTTTTCCCAGAGAGCACGTGAACATATTTCGGCGCGATTTTATGCAATACCTTTTTTTATTTTTTTACAGTCAGATGCCTTAACTGTTTTGTAACATTTTGTTTGATTTGTTTTTGCAGTTGATCTGCATAGGATAATGACATTAGCAGCAAACTCAGCTTAATTTCATTAATTTTCTTAACTATTAATTTGTACAATGAGTCAATGACTGAAATAAATGTGTCTTGGACTAATGGTGTATTCTTAAATCTTGTTAATTTTAAGCAAAACATGAAGAAGAACACATTTTTATGTTCACAAAATAATTTGATTTATCCTTTAAATAGGCTACAACAAAACAAACAAAAAAATAGATTAAAACTTTTTTACTTTTTGAGTGTGCTAAAGATACTTTTTTATCTTTTACATTTACATTTACATTTTTTAATCAAGTTTGTCAATGCCAGAAAGCACAGTTTGAACCTTATTAGGCTATATACGAAGGACAGTTAGCAATTAAAATAAAATGATTAAAATGACATATTACTTATTACATATACGTTGTTCATATATTCAATACCGGATTTACTGTGCAATTTTTATTTGTATTTTTTTCTTCAACATTTACATTTTCTTTAAATATGATACATTTAACATATGAAAAAAATTGTTTGGAACAATTTAAATAAAAAAAATGAAATTAATTAACTCAAATCTATTTTAACTGTACAGCAGGTTCACCCAGATTCTAGTGCAATGAAATCATGTAGCTAAAATAATCTGTGAAATATACATTTAGCTAACAAAATATAAACATTGTAAATGGCAATAAGCATTCCATATAAGAAAACAAACTCACACTCTTACCATTTATTGTGATGTGCTGTCTGGTCGGTGGTAGGTTGATTTTGTGTGCACTTGAGTGTTTGCGAATGATAATCAAATGAACACAATTTGAAATACACATTTTTTTAATTATTATTATTGTTGTACAATTTCTTTATATTTTAATGAGTAGTAATTTCAACATAAAATAAGACAAAAACAAGTAGCATATGAATTTTCTTAATACTTATTCCTTGTCAACTTTATACCCACCCTTTCTGTGTTTCTATCAGAGTACACAGCTTTTACTTGAGTAAAAGTAGGCTACAGATACCCCTTGCTAAATTTTACTCAAGTACAAGTAAAAGTACTACAGTGGAGTGTTAAAAAAAGACCTTTGAAAAAAAAAAGAGTTGTTGTCCCTTTCAATCAGAGAATATTATAAGAATGTTTTCTCTAAACATTATGAGAATGTTCAGCAAGTAACATATTTCTAAGAACGTTTTCTATCAACATTATGAAAATGTTCATCAAGCACAAATAATGTGATAAAGACGTTCCGATAACGTTGTTCTAAGAACGTTTTCTATCAACATTATGAGAACGTTCATCAAACACAAATAACGTGATAAAGACGTTCCAATATTGTTGTTCTAAGAACGTTTTCTGTCAACGAAATGAGAACTTTCATCAAATACAAATAACGTGATAAAAACGTTTCAAAAACCTTGTTCTAAGAACGTTTTTTATCAACGTAATGAGAACGTTCATCAAATACAAATAACGTGATAAAGACGTTCCAAAAACCTTGTTCTAAGAACGTTTTCTATCAACGTTATGAGAACGTTTATCAAACACAAATAACGTGATAAAGATGTTCCGATAACGTTGTTCTAAGAACGTTTTTTATCAACGTAATGAGAACGTTCATCAAATACAAATAATGTGATAATGACGTTCCAAAAACCTTGTTCTAAGAACGTTTTCTATCAACGTTATGAGAACGT